ACTTGTAGGCCTGGGGGGGAGGCGGGCTGTGGGGGTGGGGGGGACTGAAGGACATTGGCATATCAGGGTTGTCCAGTGCCACAAACCAGCAGGGTGGATAGCTGCAGCTAGACCCACATCCTAATGAGTGAAGGGGGCTGATTTTGCATGATAAAAAAACAAGATGAAATGCCAAAATATACAAGTATTTAGAATGTATTTTATTATAATGATTGAGGCTTCCAAAATGCTTTAAAACTGTAAATATGTCACTAAAACATTGTGTTCAACTGATACCTATGGCGTTTCATTTCAATCACGGAAAAACATGGATGGGGGTGGGAGGTAATCAGAGAATCTGGGATTCTTAAACAGAGAAAAAACAGGATCCCCCATACGACGAGCAATATGACTGTCTTTTACACAGATAGGTTAACATAGCATAAAAGTGTACACTGCCCCCCTGTACACTTAACAAAGCCTTATAGGACATAAAAACTAAATCTCCGCATTTGTCTAAGCAGGCGAAAGACCTGCCTAAGCAATGCAATTACAAGTGTTCCTTAACATACAACATTCCAGGGAAATTTAATGCTGCATTAGCTGCTCACCTTTTGCATGATTCCCTTTTCATAATAATAGCGAAGTGAACGGCTAAGTTTATCATAGTTCATAGCTGGCCTATTTTTCTGAATTCCCCAGCGACGTGCCACCTGCCACAAGAATGGATTAGCATTGATTTGTTAAATGCATTTAAACAAGTAGATCTTATCAGTAAATATTTTACTTAAAAAGCAGGGGTAGGGACTAAAACTGCACATTGACAGTATAAATAATGAAGAAAAGGTTGCTGTGACCTGCATGTCCATGTCCTAGCATGTTTTTTAAACTAGGTAGCCAATTACCCACTGTCACCTGACAATAGGCTATTTTAGTTGTGAATGCAGTGGGGAGTTTTTAAAAAAAAATGGAAAAGAAATAAAGATAGACACTTTTCAAGAGTGAGTAGCCTGAGAATTTTACTTTTTCCAAGTTACTTTGTGGATATTCCCTATTTTTCCTGTCTCACCTTGGTTGCTGGAGCACCAAAGTACAGCATGTACACACATGAATACACAATAAAAATAAATCAAACCCTTTTACACTTCAGTTCAAGAAGTCAGACAAATTGCAGCTGTTGCAGCAACAATACTAAAACTATTAGAAGATGCAAGTCAAAAGACAACCACCTCTGAGGGTCCAGTACATAACTACTATATGCAGAGATGAGAACTGCTGCTATGAGAACTGGCTGAAGAACTGGCTTGCGGAAAATGTACGACAAAAAAAGCATGCCCACAGAAAACTGCCTGGTTGCAATTCTTTTATTTCCTTTTCTAAAATGAGTCACAGGCAACTAATGGAGATCTCCAAAAGCTGCTCTTTAGTAACATATGCCTGTTGCTGTAACCTGTTTTCTGTCCATCTTTATACTTCCTGTTTTATTACCAGATGCACTTCCAGGAAAACAGCTGCTTGTTTCAGAGTTCAATTGTACGTTCCGTACCTGAAGCCACAATCCCTTGTATGTTTCATCACACTTATTGACTGTAGAAAAGATTTTTCACATCACAGGAAGAACAGTGAACTGCATGCTTCTTAGCAATGCCATGAAGCACTCCCCCCACCCATTTGCTCTCACTCGCCAGGTGCCAACTCCTAAATAAGGCAACGTTGCCATCTCAGCGCAGACCCAAGCGTGCACCAAAAAGCATGCCTGCTAGAAAAAAAAAAATCTTGTCTCCAACTGGACAGTGACTGTAAAAATTCGTTTTCAAAACATTATTACATATCCCTGGGGCAGACTGTCAGGCTGGTGCAGATTGTCACAATTCCATTGACTAACCCTTTGCTATGAATCATATTAGTGTGTCAATGACAATTTACACCAGCTAATACTCTTTCCCCTTTCAAAAAAAACAACTGGTTTGCATATTCATCTCTTGGCAGCTCCCATTTGACTCGATTGCACCTAATTTATTCCTGAATCTATCAGAACCTTGTTTCAGACCTGAAACATGAAATGAACACAGAGCGTGAACATAGCACCAAATCAGGTATATAACCTTCAACAAGGTAGTGCTTTCTAACATGAATGGTGCTCCTTTGATATGGTTTCAAACATTTAAAGCATAGGAGAAGAATGAAAGATACATCGGCTGCTTCCAACCTCCACTTATAGGTGTAAATGAGAGGGGTATAGGACTTCACTGTCTGGTCTTTTATTGGGGAAGGATGATTAGCAAGAAGCAGGCATGCTATGTTCACCTAATTTGAATCAGAATTCCTTAAGAGCTGCTGAGGAGCTGTTAGTCATAAGAAAATGGGCCATAATAGAGATAAGGCTATGATCAAGTAGGCCTAGAAGAACCAACTGAGCTCCAGCTCCCTCCTCCTCATGAAAAACCACATTAGATTCCCCACAGCTCACTTACCAATGTGTAATTTAGCCCCTGCACAATTACATCTATGAATTTTGCATCTCTATGAATCTAAGAGTGTCCACATACCATACAGGAGATCATGATAGTGTAGAGTAGCAAGAAAAGCAACTAACAGAAGTCTGAAAATTAACAAATCTCTTCCTATTTTAATTTAGATCTCCGTATGTCTTCTAGGCATTTAGGTTAGTGAGCATGAAGGAGTCTAAGCTGCTTGAACATATCAGAAAGGGCACTTATACACAAGGGGAGCCTGCTCCGATGTGCTGTAAATTCAGTGCGTCATCCAGCACATCAAACTTGATTAATCGAGTCTGTTGGAGCACGTAAATTGATGAACTCTGGCAGCCTTGCGCCTCACGTGCATCAGCAGCACAGCTTGCTTCTGTGCTGAGAAAATGGCAGCGGTGCACTTTGAACTAAAACGCATTCAATGTGCTTTAGTTTAAAGCGCACTGCTGCCATTTTCTCAGCACAGAGGCGTACTGCACTGTTGATACATGTGATGTGTGGGCACTTTTAATTAGCTCACTACTTAAAAGCACCGAGCACTGCATCAGGAGCATGTGTAAAAATGCCCTAAGGAACTGTGAGTAAGTTTAGTGAGTCATCCTGATTTCACTATATGGAAGTGCAGCGTAATTACTGCTTAGTCAAACTAGCATGTAGATCTGGGTAACTTCAGTCAAGATAAAGAGTTTAATCCTAGAGGGAAGGGTGCTCTTTGATTAAAAGGTCTTTCTGGGAAATCCTAGGAACAGCTTAAATTGGGAGTGGGGGAGGGGGTGGGGGACAGGGACAACTTAGCCTGAGCTTTTGCTGGTAGTTACTTAAATTACTAGTAAATCTAAAACCCTTCAGACTGGGGTACATTTGCTTCTATTCTGTCCAAAACAGAGGAATACAGTAGTACATGTCCTATACTATGTAGAGCACATCCTCCCCCTACCACAACTGAATTTGGCCCATTGTCTTATGTGCAGATATAAGACTAAACGATTCATATTAAACACCTCCAGATAGTGTCTGCAAGACATCATAGACTAGACTTCATAGCTAACCACAAGCAACAGACAGAGTAGACAGTACGGGAGAGAAATGGAGAATCTGTTGCATCTGCAACGGGTGATGGATATGCAGAAAGAAGGGGAGAAAGATAACTTACATCAGACATGGATCTGCCCTTCGGAGGAGAAACAATGTTTTGAAAATAAATGTTAAAAATCACTGTCCAAAAGAAAGAAAAAAGTTCACAGAGCACCAAACTAGGTGTATAATATATCAGTCAATGTCCTGTAGGTTTTGCATCTAACATCATCTGCAGACTTCCAGAGGTCAGGAACTATTTTTAAAGAAAACTTCATTATCTTTAAAGGATTCTGGCCACCCTCCTTAATTGATTTAACTCATCTGGAAAAATATTTGCACAGGCAAGTTGCAACATCTACTGAGATCAACAAGAGTCTGTTCACTGACTTCAGAAGCTATTACACATCAGACTTCTATCATTACATTAGACTTCAGAAGTATGAATGCAATATTCACCTAACCTCACTGATCAACCAGCGCATGAACAGAGTATGGTGAACCTACTACGGTTTACCATAAATCAACTAAAACAATTAAAATCCTCTGTTGCACTGTACTGCTTTACATGATCAGCTATTTAAGCAAGGACCTGCCCAGCATAACTTCGTTGATGCAGCAAAGCCAGTATCTCCATCCTTGTCTGCTACTACAGGTGCCACATCTAGAGGAAGGGAGACACAGCCAGTCTGCCAGCCCCTGACTGCTTTAAGAGTCCTTTGGGGCTACTAGCTGCTTGCTTTGCTGTAATAAAGCAATCTGAAAACTTCCTTAAATGATGCCGGAGATCCCTCTAACAAAGCACACCCTCTTGAGGTGTGCACACCCACTCTAACATCTTACACCCCTTCCCAACCTGAAATCTCCTTTGCTGTAGCTAGCAGCAGATCCTAAGGGAGAAAGTTAATTCTAATCCCCTCTTCAACATACATAATTCTTTCCCCATGCTCAAATTAAACCAATTTCCTCACTTTGAGTATACTGACCAAAACAAACACGTACAGGCAAACTTCTGTTAAATGCATATAGGAACACTGTCCAACAATTTCCATTTTTGCTTTGGAGTGTGGGGAGATTCTGGATGGTTCATGCTCTATCTAGTGGGTTTTTTTGTTTTTTTAAACAGCTATTATATTTATATTTCTTATTCCATTTTCCTTTAGTTCTACAAGTGATTTTTAAGCCCCTCTTCAACAAATATTTATGCATACTAGTAGCATTATATGTCATATATAACAATGAATCCTTCCCAGTTCAAGTTCTGAGAGCGTATTAATAATTCCATGTTGTGCACGGGTGGGGTTCAAAGGAACCTAAAGGGAGTATACACTTAATTCCTACTGGATTCTAAAATTGTTTGAAAAATTTGAAATTTTCAGCTGTAGACTTTAGATGCCCCATTCAACAGCCAAAACTCTTTAAAAAGATTATTTTCAAATTCTACATTTGGAAAATGTAGTGCTAAAACTCCTTGCCTTATTAGGCAACCAGAACTCGTAGTAGAGTTGCTATCTTTTATTAGATATCAGCTCTACTACGAGTCCTGGATGCCTTTTCCTCTAGACTAATACAGCTACAACCTGGTTGCCTTATTAGGTACACAGATCCCAAGTTAATAGAAGGAGCTCAGAAACAGCTCTTTTAAGATTCTGGTCCCTAATTTTGACTCTCAAGCATTTTGACATTCTGTCTTTCAAGCTCCCATTTTGCTTCTGTCATTGTCTGTGTATGATTAGGAAAGTCCAGAAGTAACTTGACAGAGACTTACAACAATGTCCGTCTATTCCAGATGTACTGGTATGTACAGTACCACTCCTCTCTCTCTTCCTATGCAAATAACATTTCAAGTAGGATAAGAAAGCCTGCATCCAAAAAAGAAGCACTAGTAATTTTCAAAATGCATAAATCTAATTAGGGAAATGTTGGCCTTATGATTGTGACCTTCTACACCAACCTCTTCTGGCTCTATCAGTTTGAACTCCATGCCCCGGCCAGTCCAAGCAATAAAATGAGAATTTGATGGGTCATCGAGAAGGGCTACCAAAAACTGCCACAGCTGAAGCGAGCCTCGTCGCTGGTATGTGGGTCCTTCACGGTACATCCCTGGTTCTTGTTTGATGTCACCTACATATACAAAATATTATTAAAATTTATCAATTACCTGCTTGCTAGATGCAATGCAAAACTAATTACTACTGTTCCTAAAGCTGTGTGAAAAAAAAATCTTAAAAATCCTACCAAACCACCTCCTTCCCCTATTGTCAATTACATACAACATAAAATTTACAGGTAATTTATTATAAATTAAGATGAAGATGTGGATTACCTAAATTGAGTCACGTTTCATGTCAGTCCCTGTTGTCCCCACCCTGCTCCCACCTACCACCCCAGTTCTGATGCATGCAAATCTCAGTTGCAAACAACATTTTGCAACACCCTGTATCTGAAAGAACACAAGCTGTTTTTGTAAGCAACTCTAAGGTCTAAAGAACTATTTGTTTACAATACTTTGCACAATCCCCGGTTTGAAAATGTAATGTGTACTTCATAAAGCTGTAAAACCCTACTGACTGAAACTTCTTTTGCATGCAAATTCTTCTAAGGAAAATCTGACAGAATATTTGACTTGGAGTTAAACAGCATGTGCTTTATGTATAGGTATGCAAATCCTGTAGATATGCAAGTTCCTTTGTGGCATATGGGACTTGCATATAAACACATTTTAGCACACATTATTTTTTACGCATACCTACATATTAGATTAGTATTTCCCCTGAAGAGCAGTAAGTTAATTTTTCTTAAATTCCAAATCCAGGGGAAGCTATCAAATAAACAACAACATTTTGCTAACTGCTCCACAAATTGCAAATGAATACCTCCCCCCCTTGCATTTTTAGTCTGTTTTAAAATCATATTGCTACTGAACAGCTCATGGAAACAACAATGGCTAAAAGATCTGAGGTAAAAGCAGAGACTTTTTTTCTGCAAATAACAACAGTGATCCTCCATCAATTGGTAAAACTATTCTCCTCCTCACTACAAAAGATGCAGTTCTCACCAATAAGTAGTCTGTCCTTTTTAGTGCTAGAAGGCAGGATTTTACATTAATCAGAATACAGGACAACCTCACTGCCATTGCACAAAGGCTCAGTGTAGTCAAAATAATAATAATCATAATAATAAAATAGCAACACTCTTTATAATCGTGGGGGATCTGAGTCAAGAGCAGTGGAAAACAAATAAATCAAAGAACCTTGTGTTGATTTATATGAGGTTTAAGTTCCAATCCTGGACACTGTTGTCTTTCAAGGACAAGTCTTTTCTTCTAAGGGGAGTTGAGTAATGTGTAAATAGCAAGTGCAGTACTATGAGAATCAGATTCTTAACCAATACAAGATAGCCTAAATCTCTAATTTTGAGAGAAAAATGTGTGCACTTCCACACACACACACTCTCACCAGCTTGAACACACACAGCTTTTGATTACATCACACTGATCTTGTCAAATGAATGGAGCTCTGTTACTTAGTCCTTCCAGAAAGGTTAGGTTGACTGCTTCCAATGCAACTGCACAAATATTTCCAAAGATTTAGTTGGTTAAATCATCTGTTTTATTTTGCCTTTTCCCTCCTTTCCCAAAAGAAAATCTAAGTTTTTCAAGGAGGAAATTGATAGATATTGCTTCCTCAAAGAATTTTTACTACGTGAAGTAATGGGACTTAAGGCCAATCCTGCTCCCATTGATGTAACCAGGAAATTGTCATGAATCTCTCTGAAAGGAGGATGGGGCACATAATATGTTTCTCTCAGAAATAAAAAATAAAATGATGTGCTAAATAAAAGACACAATCAACAGTCATCACATTCCCAACATTCATCACATTCATCATATTCCCAGAGTATATGGGCAATTTTCAGTAAAAACTATCACACCTTGGACCATGTCTATCTTGTGACAATGGAATGATGAAATTTAGCAATACTGACACCTAAGTTTTTTAAAAAAGTATGATTCAGACTATGGCATATATTTTTTGCTATCCCAAACCAACTTGGATATGCAAGAGCCTCCCCCATTTGAAAAGCGTGCAGTTCTCATTTTTTAACCCACCCAGCCATAGGCAAATGCACTGAACACACAGGAGTTTTAACACACACACACATATGGTTTTACATTTTTGTCACTAAGAAAAAATTGGGATATTTATCTAGCTTGACCCCTTTACTCCTCTTGGAAAAATCTGAGTTACAATAGTCAGTGCTATGAAAAAAAAATTCTTTTGGCACTAACACCTTTAAAAAATTACTAAATAGCACAATGTTTAAATACAGCCCATCTCACGATATTCAAAGACCTTAAAAAAGGAAATATATTTCAAACTCCAAATTGAGCAGTTGCACTTGCTTTCAGTGATGGACCTCTTCCTGAACAATGAGACAAAGGCTGAATTGATCATCAGTAAATCCAGAGCTGCTGCTTTCTGTTCTGCTTTCTTAATTACAAGATAAGCTTTCATTAACTCCCTAATAACAAGCTGTATATGATCATCAGTGCAATGGAAAACCTCCTATTGCCTCAGGATAGCAAGAAGCATGCTCCTCTATCATAATTCTGGACACAATCTCAATCACATCTGATAAAATAAAAAAGAAGAAGAAAGACTGGTTTCAAAAGACAAAGGTCAGCTTTGGTTGGGCACACTGCAAATGGTGTGTTAAGGAATCTTAACATTGGAATGTTACTGGCCTTTTTTAATCAACAACAGAAAAGAGACATTGTGCCTTTCCCTTTTCAACCCTCTTCACAAGAGAAGAGAAAATGTGGGATACATACTGTCAAATTTCTCTGGAACAACACAGGTATCATCATAAAACTGTCTAGGTGCCTTTTCATACATACAACCTGTAAATTACCAACAAAAAAAAAAGCATTTATTTACCAGATACATGAGAAATAAAGTTTCATCAAGTTTATAGCAGTAAGGGGCCAGAAGGTCATGGCCTCTGGTATATCACAGGCCTTCAATGTTTTACCCAATTACACCTATACTGTGCTTAATAACTTGAGTTTGGCTAAAGCGTCACTTCCCTTAGCTGTTTGTTCCAAAAATGTGCGTGGCTTCTGAGGGGCAAGAATTTCTTAGGGTGATATATCTTTTATTGGACTATCCTAACTATGTGGTTAGGATAAAGTAAGACAACCTTTTCGAATGCAAGATGTTCTTTTTCAGGTCTCCCAGTTGGAAAATGAAAGGGGATCTGACAAAGAATTCAGAAACTTGTCTAACTTTCTCCTAATTATACAGTTGGTCCAATACAAGATACTACTCTAAAAAATCCTCGCCTCTCGCATAATTTCTGGATCATTACAGCTACAACATCACTCTTACACTACTCTGGCTTCTGACAAATTGAGGCTTTTGATCCCTTTCTGTGCTAGATTAAATGGCCCGTTAGTACCCAGTATTTCTTGCAATGCAGTATTTGTACACTGTAATCAAACCACCTGTCAATCTTTTTAGATAAACTGAACAGAATGAGCCCTTTTAAAAATTTCTCTCTCGCTGTAAAAGCACATTCTCCAAACTAAATAATTTTTGCAATCCTTTTCTGCACACACTGATTTTTCAGTTTAAGTTGTACATACCACAACTATGCACAACATTCCAGGTTCAAATCTTATCACTGCCATCTCCAGAAGTAAAAATGCTATAATTGTTCCTATTTCTCTAAATAAACATATAAAAATTTCAAAAGTTCTTTGCCATAACATCATACTGCTGATGCCAAGTAGTTTATCCACTAAAAAGTTTAGCTCCTTTCCAGACCTACTTCTTTCCCAAATATATAGTTCCCCATCCTGTCGGGTTGGTTTGCATTCCTTGTTCCTAAATATGAAACTCTATAGTGTCTGTATTAAAATACATTGTTTTGTTTTAATGGGCCCTGTTAGCACAGTAATCCAAATCACTCTTTATGACACGCCCATATTCACGGTTTACCATTCCACCAACCCTAGCACCATCCAAAAATGTTTCTGTTTTAAAAATCAGTAGTGATTTCATATTTATATCCAAATTAGCAATAACATATTGAGCAGTATTAACTCCTACAGTACCCACTAGACATGCCCTAATTGAACAATAGCCCAGTGATGGCTACTTTTTGAAATCTGTCAGACAATTCTTCATCCTTTAATTATTTTTTAATATGTGCCTTATCATTACATAGTGCTAATTTCTTACTCAGAATATCATGCAGCAGTAAATCAAGAGCTTTATGAAAGTCTAAGCATATTACCTCTACACAATTACCTTTATCAATCAAACTTGTAATCTCATCAATGAATAAAATCTGGTTTGTCTGACAAGACCTGTTTTCCATAAAACTGCACTGACTGGTTTCCAAATGCAGAATATAAATATTTATTGAGCATCTCTGCTCCTTTTACGTCATCATCAGTTTTATCATCTTCATCCGGTATGAGGTCTATACCAGTGCTACCATTTTTGGTACCTAGGTATTAAGGGACACTAAGGAAAGTTTTCATCAATACCATCTATAGATTTTTCCTTGATGTCTTTAGAATCGCCTTATCAGTTTTCCGAACTTCATAATTTATCGTTTATAATGAGAGTGTTCATTCACCCTTTTCCCTATGTGAGCTATATATTTTGTCTTATAGTGCTTGGCTTCTCTTTATCACTGAACTAGATACAATCTGTAGCCAAATTTGTTCTTTCTTGACGATGGAACTGAGCCTTATTTAACCCCGTATTAAATTCCCCTTAGAGAACACTGCTTTTGCATTCAATTTTCTGTCTAACTTTTCCTTTAAATTGGTCATTTCCACTCATAATTTTCCTGAGCCAGGCAAAATCAGCATTTCTGAGAGAAAACCCTTTGTCTATCATGGAAAAGTGTACATTAAAGTAGGAGACTGGGAACCAAGATAAAATGCCTTTTAGCAGTAATTTTCTTCTAGTCTAGAGTATCTTTACTATTTAAATATAATATGCCATTACTACATTTTACTAAAATTGATTGTGACAAAGACTGCAAATTCTGCATTCAGTGAAGCAAGCAAGATTTCTGTCATTACTAAATGGGTGTAGGATTAGGCTCAAAGAGGACCAAAACAAATAAACAATGCTCAAAACTTTATGACATCAACGTGATTCCTTAACTTATCCTTAGTCATACCAATTGCCTGGTGGAAGTCATAATTTTATTAAAGATAAACAAATTCAGAAGTGCTCCTTTCTTTGATAGATAGGGACTGAAAAATGCAGAATGAGCAAATCTCCATTAAAATTGCTTTTAACATAGCCAACCTGTAGCTAGCTATCACATAGCTACCCTGCACTTCTAAGTACAGGCATACCTCGTTTTATTGTGCTTCGCTTTATTGTGCTTCGCAGGTATTGCGTTTTTTACAAATTGAAGGTTTGTGGCAATCTTCATTGTTGTCTTATTTTAAGAAATTGCCACAGCCACCCCAACCTTCAGCAACCACCACCCTGATCAGTCAGCAGCCATCGACATCAAGGCAAGACCCTCCACCAGCAAAAAGACTACGACTCGCTGAAGGCTCAGATGATGGTTAGAATTTTTTAGCAATAAAGTATTTTTTAATAAAGGTATGTACATTTTTTTTAGACATAATGCTATTGCACACTTAATAGACTACAGTATAGTGTAAACATAGCTTTTATATGCACTGGGAAACCAAAAAATTTGTGTGACTCGCTTTATTGCAATATTCGCTTTATTGCAGTGGTCTGGAACTGAACCCGCAATATCTCCGAGGTATGCCTGTACTGCAATGGTTTTATTTGGAAACAGAGAAGAATGACAATTCTGGGATACCCACATTCCTTCATTGGTTTTAAATAAAAATAATTTTCTCTTGTACAAAAGGAACGCGTAAGTGAAAACTTAACTTCTGTTCTGTTTGGGTGAGCCAGGAAGCCTTCTTGCCTCATGTAAATGGAGTGGCAGCTAGGCACTTCTGAAAGGAGAAGACAATGCGAGTCAAAAAACTGTCTGGAATTGAAAGTGTGCAGGTTATCAATGAGACAGACTGCAGACAGAAGAGTAACAGAAATGGACATAAGTCACAGCAAGGGGAACCTGTCAGCACATAGTTAGCATTTCAGAGCAGCATGCACAAGGCATGGGAAGGAAAAACCTATAATGCAAGGAACATTGATCTTGTCTAACACAGGCACTTGAACTCAAACTTTATCGTAATCAACCTTCCTAAAGGTCAGCTCCCATGACAATCACACTTTAGTCTGATTACAAATAAAAATACACAAGTCGGAATTAATTTTTTAAACCCACACTCTTACATCCAAAGTCTTCTGGTAACTAATCTGACATAACAATAATTTTAAAATCAATTACATGGAATAGCCTGCCAGTCATAGCGGAGTCTAATAAACCACAAAATGTGGTATCATTATCACAAGGAACGCCAGGCTGAGTCTTGAGTAGGGTACTGTTTTTGAGTTTGCGTTCAGGGATGTGAAAGGCTCAAGGCATTTTCTCTAATTGTTAAGACACTTTAAAAGCCAGTTAAGCAATCCAGCTATAAATTGATCCTCCCCTCACTCCTCCCTCCACTTTTCAATAGCATTGTGCACATTCAAGCCACTGCAAATGCATACACAGATTATGATTTCCTGTCTACGCTGCTGAGGCTTCTTTAAGCACTCAAAAAAAATTGAGAAAAGCTAAACAAAGTTAATGAAAATGACATGCTCTGAGCAGACATGTTTCTGTTGTCCACACCTTTCTCTACCTGCAGGTAGTCACATCTGTGCACAGGACCTTGCAAACAAACACACACCACAAATGTTTGCTCTTCTAGATCATTTTAACCTGCCTACTGGTTATCAAAAGAAAGTCTATTTGATCTTGTGATAAACTCCTATACTAAGCCATGAAATCTGCTATCAGTAACACATGACTCAGGAAAAGATGCAATGAGAGGTCAGAACAGCCAGACATTATTTTCCCAATACACTCTACAAAATCCTTTCAGAATGCAATTCTAAATTTCACTGTTCACTGACTAGTGATAAATATCAAGGGCTTGGCAGGATAAGAAAATGAGGTTTTACACTGACTTCACAAAGCAAGTACAACACAGGATAGTAATAAGACTTTCCTTTAACTGTCTGAAGTCTCCTTCACACATTCCTGCTAAACTTTTTATTACTTCTTTTCCTTATGAAATGTTCAGTACCTGTCTCTTTGGAGCTCTAGTATTTCAGACCTCTTTTAAAACTATTCTGAGCAACTGCAGTAAATCAGTGATTCAATGATCATACGGTTCAAGTGTATTTTTGCAAGCTAGAAGTCAAAACTACAAGTATTGGTCTCCTTGGAAAGAAACATTTTGGTTATCAAATAAACTGGATTGTAAGAAGGGGAAAATATACATAAAAAGATACAGCTTGAGAACTGAAACAGATGCTATTTTCTAGTTTAGGTAAAAATTTGTGAGTATTGGCAATCTAGCTTATTTGCAGCTCATGAACCCTGCTCTTACAAAATGATATAACTGACAGTCTAAGGGGGCTATGTCTCTGTCGATACAGCTGTGCGTTTAAACAACTCTGGCTATAATTCTTTGTATTCCAAAGTCAATTATAAATAACATCTGCAGTGTTTCAAGACAAGCCCTGTTTGTACCAATCTTGTTCAAATACAAACTTACCATAAGATTAAACAGGCCACAAAGGACTGAAAAATATAGTAGAGGAAAGTTTATTCCTCATAAAGTAACTAGTCTTGTTATTCTAAAGTGCTATCAGTTAATTTATGACTATCAGAGTGGGTCAGACTCTAATCAAATTGTAGAAACATTTCCAAAGTGATTATTCAATCAAATGACTAACATGGTTAATTAGGAGCCATAAACATTGCTCTGAAGTTCATCAAAGTAATGACTTGCCCAGAAAAATTACTGCTAATTAAATTGCCTGCTGCTTTCATTTCTACCTTATCTAATAAAAAGTCCAACCAATGAAATTTAACAGTGCAGTTTCAAATTGTACTAAATGCTTGACTAAGACCCAGAAGTATTTTAACCAGCTAAGAGGAGTTACTTCAAAAGCAAACATTTTAGTATAGAAATTGCAGAGCAATTACATGTTTTCTTCTCATTACAATATTGTTGCAAGAAGATAGATAAAAGAGAGCTAAGTCACAGAGTTACTTTCAGAGCAAAATTCAAGTGGTTGAGGTGACTGATGGTATCACCCTCAGACTTTTCAGCAGCATCCAGTGTCTAAATAAATAGGCTTGACTAAGATATGCAGCACACTTACTTCATGTTCTTACTGAATTATTTCATACTGTAAAAGTTAAATCACCTCAGGAGGGGCAAAGTCCAGTAAAAAGGTAAAGGCAGCATAAATAATGCTATTAATCTAAAATACTCTGAGGTCATTCTCATCCTTCCTTATCCTAAGAATGCTACAGAACTCTACTTAAAACTGTGAAAATTCCCTTACTTCATATTGTTCTGACACCCGTTATTCCAGTAAATGTTATTTGAAAATAATATACAATTCTGAGACTGCAGCAATGCCTGCTCATGTGGGAATGCCAAGGAGAAACTAGTAGAGAAATCTTAATCAAGATGTCACAAAGTACAAGAGGAAGAGCCCAGCCTTCCTCTCACTGCAGTTAGAGAAAACTGTTCTTAGTGACACAAGGGTCAGGACCTAAATGAGGAGGTTCTGGATTTGACCCTCAAATACAGCCCAAAATCATGCGCCTCCGATTGGCTTCTCTCCTATTAAATGGCCTAAGCTGTTTCAGATGTGCACGGTAGTAAACTAGCCAAGGGCTCTAACTCTCTTGGCCAAACTGAGATTCTCAGGAACGAAGGAACTACTCACCAGGTACTCTCTGCTGTACGGAAATGGGAAGAATTTCACCCTCTGCTCCGCAGCAGGGGAGAATAAGGTACTTCATGAGCAGGGTTGAAGTAAACTCCTCTCCAAGACAATGAAGAACAGAAAGATCTGGGTGGTCTGAATCACAATTCACTTTCATGTTCAGTGCTCCATAGCCTTCCTTACATTGGGCCAAGTGAAAGTTCACCTGGAAACCTGAAGTTCAAGCTTGTCTAGAAGAAACTCTCAGACAACAAGCTCCAATGAATCAAAAAGAGCTGTTTGGCTAGCTCACAGCAGCTTATAACCTACACCTTATCGCAAATGATGTTACAGTGATGACAACAGGAGAGAGTAAACTTAAAAAATATACCATGTAATGTGTTCCCAGCGGACAAAAGCAATCACTTCTACTGAGTCTGTGAACAACATATCCATCTTGATCAGTATACCCTAGCCATAATGAAAAAACTGGGGGGGGGGGCGGAGTTCAGAAAAATCAGAAAACAGTAGCTTTTATTTTAGTTCTCTTCCTAGTCCTCTCTGGCCTATGTACATGGCTGGTAAGAACACTACTGTAACAACAGAAGTTAATCACTAAGGCTCCTATAAACGTGCTCGGAGCATGGAAATTGACGAGCTCTAGCAGCCTTCCATGTCATGTGTATCAGCGTTGCCACACATCTCTGCACTGAAAAAGTGGTGGCCGTGTGCTTTGAAATAAAACACATTTGATGAGCTTTAGGTCAAAGCGCCCTGCCGCCATTTTTTCAGTGCAAGGACATGCAGTGACGCTGATGTATGTGATGTAGAAGGCTGCCAGAATGTGTCAACCAGCAGATTCAATTAATCAAGTTAAGCATGTATATAGGATCCCCTAGCGATTAACTTCTGTGGGATACGGCCCAGCACTGCATCTCACAGCATTTGTAAAAATGCTTTAGAACTTCAAGGAGTTATACAGACCAGGAAGCACTCATTAACCCAGCCTGACAACATGGCCTCAAATGTTCTTTTGGTCTTCAAAATAAATAAAAAAATCCATCAACCCCTTAAAACAAAGGATATGATGTGGTTAAAGTCTTAGGCTTCTATTACAGTGACTCAGGACACCAAACCTGTAGCAGTGTTTGTTCACACAAGTAGCCAACCCCTCTTGCCCCCATGCTGTCCCTCTGCTCTGACTGCCACGTTCTTATAAGTGGGCAGAATTCAGAAATTCATGAGACTCCTGTTCATCCAAGGCCTGATTTATGAAAGGATCATTAGATTTTCTTTTCTAGATGCAGGATAAATACTTACCTTTATTTTTAAATTTAAATGTTATAGTAAGGACACGTCTTTTAGGCTTTCCAAACTTAATATAATCTTTTAATAAAATAATAATTTACATTCATATTGTACCTCTCATTACATGAAGATGCAGGAGCTCTTAAAATTGAAAAGGATCTACTATATGGTCACCTGACCCACCAATGAAAATCAGGTGGCTCCAGTCTAGGAAAGCAGTTATGTATAGCAGTTATGTATAGCAACTCAGCCCAACAGTGTACAGCATGAAACAGCAACAAGCCAAAACTATGCTGAAACATTAATAATGCTACAACTCCTGCTCTTTGGGACCTTACACACCATGAGGATCTTGACATTACCTCTCATCTAATGGGCAGTATCTTCCACAGTATTAATTAAGAGCTAGATTTTACAAAGCAATACACTTGATGAGCACTTCCGCTCCCCACCCAACACTAAAGATACAGATATTTAACTCTATTTGTAGGATCAGGCTCAAGCACTATACCATGGGGTTTTATTCAGCCTTGACTTGGAGGAAAGATCATCAGCACAACAGAAAATAATCCCTGGAGGTCCCATATCCAAGTACCTACCAGACCAGGTCTATTGACCAAAGGATTACAGCATAAAGGACTCCAGTAACAAACTGTAATATGATCTTTTCATTGCTATGTATTTCTTTGATAGCAAAAATAACTGCATAAGGTATCTAGATTTCTTTCAGTTCATACACAAATTCCTGGGCTAGTTGTACTTGTATGAATCATTCTGTAAAATGTGTGGCCTAGGTTTTACAGGGATT